TTTTTTTTGCGTTATTAGGAAAAAAAACCATCAACCAACATCATAAACATATTAACTTAAGTTGTAGGTAATAACATGTGTTCTCCAAATAGTCAACTATGTTCTTAAATAGTTAACTATGCAAATTATATAAAACATAATAATTGACTATGTCTGGAAAAGTTAAATATGCTAATAACTATGTTATTAGAATAGTTAATTATGTTCATATATAGTTAACTAAACAATTTTTACTATAAAAATCTAGACAAAACTAACTCATCATGATCTAAATAGATTAAATTATACTAAAAAGTTGACTATACTACCAAAATATATAAATAATTGACTATATTGAAAATAGTTGTATACATATTTCCAACATTACAAATATACCAACTATTTTCGGATGTATAGCTAACTATTAAGAACATTACAATTTAGTTTACTATTTTTAGAACAATGTGTGCATATAATAATTTACTATTTTTAAGTAGTTGACTATACTACAAATATTTAGAAATAAAATATGTGTGTATACATAGTTCGAAAAATACCAAATATACCAACTATTTCTTAGATGTATAGTTAACTAATAAGAACATTACAATATAGCCTATTATTTCCAGAAAAAATAATAATTCACTATTTCTAATTTTTGTAGTTCACTATTTTTAGAAGTATGTTTAACTATTTTACGAAGTAAAGTCAACTATTAAAAATCTATAAAACAACTGTGGGATAGATATATAGAAGAAGTACAATATTATTTTTTAGGTAAAAAAATTCAAAAAATTCTAATACAATATACAATCAAACAAATATTTATTTTCTCTTCCATAATGTCAAGTCTTTTTTAAGAAATCATGTTTATGTAGAAAGAGAAAAATTAATAATTGAGAGGTAAATTAGTCAATTTTTTTCTCTTTGCTATACACCTAAATTTAGTTCTGCACATGCTATTCTCTATATTATGTATTCCAAATGTGATATTTCACTAATTCACCCTTTTTTAATTATGTAGCTACTCATATATCTAATTTTTTAAAATCTTAACTAATTGAATCTCATTTTTTTAATTGCAAACTAAAACTGTAAATTTCAATAAGATTTTTTTCACACAATTAATTTCCAAATTTTTCAAGAAGTGAATGATGTACAAAACCATGAATAGTATTTTTTTACGTCAAACTAATATAATATCGTATTAACACTCTTATTGATATAAATTTTAAATATGCTAACTTATTCATCAAGTAATAGAAAATTCATTCCTATAAACTCATTATTTTCTAAAAACAATCCTTACAAAGTATAGTTAGAATTTTTTTTATTAATCTCACAAACTAAAATAGATTTTCATAATCTATCTCACTTATCGAAAAAGAGAGTATTCGATGTTATTTTTCTAATAAAACAGGTGAAATAAAATTTGTGGAAGTTATTTTCGAAATTTAAAACATTTTTAGTGAGAAGATTAAGAGAGTACAAAAATTATAATCCATAAAGAGTTAGGTATGTAAATCTAAGTCTATTTGAACTCAAACAAATTTTGCGCGTGTATTAATTAATATTCTTAAGAGAAACTCTTAAAATCTATTTCATTTAAAACACGTAAAGGAAGAGAAAAAAATGGTTGGAAGGAAAAAAAAAACCAAGATATATAATAAAGAAAGAGTTTAAAAGAATAAATCATGCTTATCAACT